AATGGCATTTAAAAACCCATTTACCCAAACGTCTACGCATAATCGGAGTGTTTTCTCTCTGCCGCCATATTCAAGCACTTTCACATTTAATGTGAACACGTTTTCTTTAAATCCCAAACCGGAATCCCAAAATTAAACCAATAAATGTCGTCGGCTCACGGCAGATTTCCGGCGAGTCCACCGGTTTCTTTATCTCCGGCGTCTTCCTCGTCCCCGAGTTCTCAATCTCCGACGACTCCTGATCTGAAACAAAGAGTCATCGCTTGTCTCAACAAGCTCGCCGACCGTGACACCTTAGCTCTCGCCACGGCGGAGCTTGACTCAATCGCTAGAAATCTCACTCACGATTCCTTCTCTTCCTTCCTCAACTGCATCCACAACACCGACTCTTCCTGTAAATCTCCGGTGAGGAAACAGTGCGTTGCTCTCTTATCCCTTATGTCTCGTTACCACGGCGATTCTCTCTCTCCTCATCTCTCTAAGATGGTTTCCACCGTCATCCGCCGGCTCCGAGATCCGGATTCCTCCGTACGCTCCGCTTGCGCCGCCGCAACCGCCGATATATCGTCTCACGTCACGAAGCAACCGTTTTCCTCCGTCGCGAAACCGCTCATCGAGACGTTGATACAGGACGGAGATTCGAACGCGCAGATCGGAGCGGCGTTGTGCTTGGCGGCGTCAGTGGAAGCAGCGACGGATCCGGAGTCGGAGCAATTGAGGAAATCGTTGCCTAAGATTGGAAAGCTGCTTAAGAGCGACGGTTTTAAGGCTAAAGCGGCGTTGTTGAGTGCCGTCGGAAGTATAATTACCGCCGGTGGTGCGGGAACTAAACCTGTTTTGGATTGGTTAGTTCCGGTTTTGATTGAATTTCTGAGTAGCGAGGATTGGGCGGCGAGGAAATCTGCGGCGGAGGCATTGGGTAAAGTTGCGACGGAGGAAGAATTAGCATCGCAGTACAAGAAAGCTTGTACGGTGGCTCTTGATAGTAGAAGATTTGATAAGGTAAGAAGAATCCGATTTCGAAAGGATTTTGGTTTATCTAAAAATCCGATTTTTGAGGTTCAGAGAATGTACAAATGTAGGTGAAAAGTGTGAGAGAAACTATGAACCGAACATTGAATCAGTGGAAACAAGTCTCAAATGATTCCGAAGAAGCCTCTTTATCTCCATCTAGATCTTCCACTGGTATGTATGTTTATCTGCTTACATTTCTAAATCAAGATTTTAGCTTTAAGGACTTGCTTCAATTTGATTTTCCTACGAATTGGTGGTTTCCAGATGATGGTAGCATGGGATGCTGTGTCACGAGAGGTTCGACCATTGAAGTGGGGTTTAAATCAGCTAGACCAAAGAAAGTAAAGCCTATAATCAAGAGGTCCCCATCTTTGCCTGTGAATAGATCAAATGCAGGAACTAGACAAAAGGAGAATCTTCCAAAACGAAATCAAGGGAATATGACCATGTTAGTAGCAGCAGCTTCTAGTGTGGATAACAAGGGACCACAGTTTCCGCCGGTAAAGCAATCGTTGTTGGAAGATCATAGTAGTAAAGGTGTAGAATCGGAAGAGAAGGCAAACTCAGGGGGACCAGATATAATCAAACATACTATCTCTGAGAAAAGCCGGGAAGATAAAGTACATGGCTTTGGTGGTTTGAGGTCTGGCTCAAGGGTTGCACCTTGCAGTGACGATGGAGATTCTGTAGCCAATAATGGTAAAGACGATGTTGATGAGAGCAAGAAAGACAGCGAGGAACTTTATTTGATACGCGAACAGCTTGCTCTGATTGAGAACCAGCAGTCCAGTCTCTTAGACCTACTTCAGGTATACAAATTGGTCTTAACAATCCTATTGTCCCTTAATGTAGATGAAATGTTTGGTTATTAATGTTATAGATGGCTTAATCCTCACTGAAATTCTTGAAACTTTCTATTTTGGCTCTAGAAATTTATGGGAAGCTCACAGAGTGGCATCCAGTCTCTGGAGTCTCGCGTCAGCGGTCTAGAGATGGCTTTGGATGAAATTTCATGCGATCTTGCGGTTTCAAACGGGAGAGTCCCTAAGAATAGTGGCTGTGCAGGAGACAGTTGTTCCAAACTACCTGGTACGGAATTCTTAAGTCCAAAGTTCTGGAGAAAAACCGAGGAGAGACCAGTGCAAACACGGATCAGAGACGCAGTCTGCGAAGTCCCTGTGCACGAGAGCAGTGTTGGCCAGGGGATGCAAGAACCAACAGAAGTGAACAAGGGTCAAAGGGGAGGATCAGGTTTCCAAAAGAGAGCACCAAGAAACCATTTTCAAGACTCAATGCACACAACACTACATAAACCAACCACGAGGTAAAAACCATCTTTTAGTTATCTCAGTAATTTGCTTTAAAAGCATGACTTTAAAGGGTTGCTTTTGCATTTTCAGATTATCAACTTGAAGTAAAAGGAGAGAATGTGCACTCGAGTGTGATTCAGTTTTTTTGGGGAAGAGAGTGGATGTAAGGATTGAAGCCATATTAGAAGCTAACCAGACTGACTCAGACGCTGAAAATGAAAAGGCAAATCTCAGATTCCATGCTTTGCTTCAACCGCCTGGTTGAATTTTCTACTCTCACACACATGTCTAAGTAAGCTTTCCTCGTTTTAAAAAAAGCAATCTAATAATTTAATCAGCGAGTGAATCAGTAGAGCTTCAAAGATTAAGTGCACGTGAATAGAGATGATATTTATGTGTAATGTACTGATGTGTCGTTAGAGCTATGTCGGAAAACATGATTAGAGATGTAAATATTTGTGTGACTGTTTGGTTATTACTCTGATCTGTAAATCTTTTGGGAAAGGAAAGAATCATCGCTTGCTAATATGAGTGAGAACTTCTTAGGACAATAGAGATGAGTTCACTTCACTCCATTTTGTCAGCGTCAGAAATTATTTACTGCCACTCCTTTTCGGCTCTTCCCCTATGACAATAAACGATTTTCATAGTAATAAATGGAAGAAAGGTAGTAAGGTGCAAAAATATGACTACCATAATGGTCCTGCATGGGTTTCAGGTTCAGGGACCGCGTTTCAAGAGACGAGCCTTTGATTTTAGAAATTACTCGAGTTTGTTATACTAATCAATATGTGTATATAACAAGTATAAGAACATTAAAGAGATACTAGTAATTAATCAGACTAGAGTCTCCGATCGTCTTGCTCTTTTTGTTTTTTAGGGCCGACCACATTGGGACCAAGGTAGAGGGAGGTTGACTTGGGTCGTAACTTGTGTTTCTATCATTGTGGAATTTTGTGACATTTGACAAATTCCAATGGGTGAGTCATTTATTGGGTTTGGCCATTGTGGTAGAAAAAGAAAAGCAGTGGTTCCAGACTCTGGCCACAAGTCAAATATAGGCTTTTTTGTTTCGGTTACAACTATTGAAATCACAATGTTTCGGAAAAATAATCAACTTTACGAAATAGTAATTAAACTCGGGAAATAACAAATAGCCAATGCACGAAAACAAGATTTGCAAGCCAGATCATAAGATTTGGTTTTGGGATCATGCGTTACCCTACGAAATTCACGATCATAATACAATAACTTGTCCTTGTCCAAAATTGCAAGTGGTTGGAATGCCAACATGTAAGGCTCAAACCAAGAGTAAGTCATCTGGTGATCTATCGAATATATTGTCTTCCATGTCTTGGAGTCTGAATCGAAAGACCATATCACTTGGTTGAGATTAACTTGCTGGATGACGCATAAACGATCATCCAGGTTGCACATAGAGATATCTGAAATAAAATAAAAATGATCGTGAAAGGGAACTTTAGATATGACTTGGAAAGTTTCGGTATGAAGATCGAAAGATAAAAACCTTGATTCCACTTTCCCCCTCTTCCCAGGCAGTGAGCCAATGAATTGAACCGTCCACATATACAGGATATTGCTCGTGAAGAATCAGATAAGGAGACGCAGGGACAACATTTGTGGTAAAATCGAAAACTTCACAAGTAGTGGCATTATTGTTTAACCCTATTTCAGCTGAATTATATAACCAGACTGATTTGTATGTGCCATTGATCTTGTCTTTACCGAATCCAAGAGAAGGGTTCTTGGTCCAGCTTGGAACCCTAAATCCTTCGTAAAAGGCTAGTTGATAGTTACATCGAGGGAAAGTTCGATGCCATCTAGTGGTGGGATTGACCACAATACAAGGACAATTGAAATGGTAGAGGCATATAAGACCATCACAGCTAGTATTGCAAACTATGTAAAACTGGATATTATCCAGTGGAATAGGGATCTTGACAGAAACTGATGACCCTACTACCAGTGTTCTCAGAACTGAATCAAGAACAAGACTATCATAGGGATATACAGACACCAAAAGTACCTCTGGATCTCCAGATTGTTTACGATGCAACATCTGTCTCTTTTCAAAACAAGGAGATTGGATAGTCGATTTCCATTGCTTCGACACACACTTGAACTTGAGGAGTGTTTTCACGTGAAGTCTCTCTAGAATATCCTTAATCACATCGTCTGGTAATGATCCCATATTCTTCCGTTTTTTTTTTCTGTGAATGACCAAACAGAGGAGAGACAACAATGTATATGCTTATTTATAAAAAGAGAAAACTTGACATCACTAAGGAAATCGAAATATTTTTGTTAGTTTATAATTATGAAATCTCAACAAGATAAGCTCATCAAACCAACAAAAAAAAGGAAACTTTCACGTCAATTGAAGAAAAATATCTTATTTTAAGGACTCTTATATATATATATAAAAAGTTAATTAGGAGGATATTATTTT